AGGGGTTCCTCCTTCTCCTGCTCCTCCTCGAGCCCTCCCTGCTTCCTGTCGGCCATGCTGCAAGCTCCTCTCCTCCGCCGGCCCGCTCCGCGCTGCCCCACCCTAGAGCCGCCTTACCGTGCAGGGTTGATTATGTCTCCCCAAGGAGAAAGTACAAAGGCAGTTTATTCAGCCATTTCTTTATTCTTTTTGATATCTCTTGCACAAACAATATGTAATGAGTATCTTAGACCCATCTCAAAATGAACAGAAAGAAAAGGGCCAGGGGCGTAGCTCAGTGCCAAGGCCTAGGTCCGGTCCTCAGCACTGGAAAAATAAAAATCGGGACACATCAGTTCCGTGCCTGCCACTCCGTCCCTGGTCTCTTGGGCTCCTTGCTGTGACTCCAATTCCCTGAGGCTTCAGACTCCTCAGGTCCCCATCCCCCACCTGTCACCCGGATGTCTGTCACCTGGTCTCTGCCACCAGGGCGCTCTTGGCTGAGCACAGCATGGTGGTTTTGGAAGGCTTCTTGGGAGTGAGAGCTCTGCCGGGAAGCAGCCCCGAGGGAAAGCGCCTGTGGCCTCGACCCGGGAGAGGAGCCTGCCTCATCCTCCGTGGGAGCTGAGTAGGAAACAAAGCACTCGGTAGACAGATGCTTTTTTAAAATTTTAACAGGGGCTGGAGAGATGGCTCAGTGGTCTAAAGCACCTACTTGAAACAAGCTTGGCAAAGCACAGGGACCGCGGTTCGATCCCCCAGCACCACATGCCAGCCAGCCCCGCCCCCTGGTGGGCTGAGCTGGCCACACACACACACACAATAAATAAATGTAATAAATAAAAATAAATAAATATTTAAAAAAATAAATTAAATTAAATAAAATTTTAACAGCACTGGGGAGAGGGGATATTGCTCAGCGGGCATAAGCATCTGCCTGGCAAGTACAAGGTTCCGAATTCAATCCCCTGCATTGCAAAAATGAATAAAATTTAACAGCACTAAGGATGGAACCCAGGGCCTTCATTCTGAGCTACATCTCCAGCCCTTTTATTATTTTTAAATTTTGGGACAGTGTCTTGCTAAGTCACCAAGTTGCCCAGGCAGGGCTTGAGTTTGAGATCTTTGTGCCTCAGCTTCCCAGCATGCTGGTTGGGTTACTGGTGTGTGCCACCTTGGCCAACAGAAAGAACTTTTGAGGCTGAACGTGAGGCCGGTCATGAGGCCCAAGGCAGACTTTGCTCTGTTCTTTGCAGCACACCGAGTCACCCCGTGGTTGTCATCCACCTGCCCGCAAGCACCTTTTCAGGGTGTCCCTTGCTGAGGTGGCTGCTGGTTTGCACTCTCCTTGCCCGGGCTAATGCTAGGGACTTGGGCTGTGTGTGTGACCACCTTCTAGAAGATTCTGTGATGGAGACACCTTCTCTTGGGAGTTGGTTGTAGCAGTCAGCTCTGAAATCCAGATGTTGAAGAGTCAGAGCACAAGCCTCTGTCCTCTAACATGTACGTGGTGAGGGACCTCGTGGCCACCTCACAGAGCCGCCTGTGAGCAGCACAACCGGCCCCAGTTCCCTCAGCAAGGACAACGTTTGTCACTTGGACAAGCAGAAACCAACCTCCCTTCTTGCTGTCTAGGCCACACAGAGCCTCTGGGCACAGAGGGAACATGTGTTGCCTGGTCTCCAGGACGTTGGTTAGCGTGCAGCAGTGATGTGTGACATGCCTGCTGTGACAGAGCCCCATGTGCGGGGCTCTGCTGTGGCATGGCTATGTCTTGAACCCTGTCTCTGGAAGTCGAGGTTAGCAGGACCGAGGCGCCTGCGCTGCATCCCTAGATGGGCTGTCATCAGTGGCCCTGCCGTGGTAGGCTGTCCAACGTGATTGCTGTGCTATACTGTGACAGTGTGCTGTGTCACGCGGTGCACCTTCTCATCTCCTGCTCTAGTACATTCACAGATTCCAGGTGGGGCCACGTGGACGCTCATGCGCACGTCCTCTGGCCCATTGGAGCCTGCATCTCTGTTGAGTACAGATCTGGGGTGGACTTGTGGGTCCAGGACACCAGGACACAGCCATGTCCTTCCCCCTTGATAGATGACATCAGACCGATTCCCAAAGTGATGGCACCACTCGGGCCTCCGTGGGCTGGATCTATCCCTGAATTTGCTGGTGTCACTCTGGGGGCTGGTGGATCTGACTTCCTCCTGGGGAGAGGTTGGGGGTGCTTTGTGCAGAAAGCCAGAAGGGACCTCTGTCCAGCTGCCCTGTCCCATGAGTGACTGTCTCTGGCATTGGTTGATGTCCTCTGCCTGCTGCTGGACTCTGTTAGGAATGAGGTTTCTCAAAGGACGTTTCTCTGCCCCCAGCGAGGTGGATCCAGTGGACAGCCTCATTTCTGAGGTGCCGAGGGGCTCAGAGTGAGGGGTCTTGGTCCGATTCCCCAGGAATTCGTGCCTAGCTAGAGTGAGCCAGTGACTCCCTGAGCTCGCAGGTGAGTGTGCAGCCTCCAGTTTCGAATCAGAAAGGAAGGCTTTGGCCTGGCCGCCCTCAGAAGCAGGGGCCCAAGGAGGTTGCGGTTTCACAATCAGAGGAAGCGGCCACCAGCAGCGATGTGTGGTCCCACGTCCGTGACCACTGAGGGCGAGATGCGGGCAAAGCTGGCACCGGCAGCGAGGGAGGAGCAGGCCCCTGGCCAGAGGTGCTCCTGTGACAGTGTTCAGAGTCACGGAAGAGAGCAAGAGAGCGGGACGTTATGGAAGGGAAAGACAGAGGGTTTTTTTTTTTTTTTTAAGTGCTGAGGACTAAATGAGAACTCCTGAGCCCTAAACTGCTGCTGGGCTCCACCTTCAGCCTGGAGCTCTTTTAAACAATAAAAGTCTTAAGACATAGCAAGGAGCTGTGGGGGACTCAGGTCAATAATTTCTGACATTGCCAGTTAAACAGAAGACCCGATGCTATTATGGGCTACTGGACTATTTTAGAATATTTTGCTGAGTTTACGCACCTATAATATTCAGTAACGGAACTTAG